GTGTTCCACAGATTCTGTCAAGAACTTTGATTTTCATAGCCTTGATATTGGAGGTTATAATTTTCCCTATAGCCATTTCACAACAATAAACAAATGTAAAGTTTGATATAGGAAAGTAAAACACAGTTACGTTTCATTTCACAAATTTCTAGTCCCCTGCCCCAATTAAAACCATAGTGGCAAACAATTTCTGCATTATTTAGGCAAGTGGTGACAATCTAACCAAATGTACCCAAACTTTACTAGAGAAAAAAAACAAACAAAAGCCAATATCCTGGTTAAGTTATTCACAGAAGTTTGCAAATGGTATTAAAATATTGAACAATCTTATCTACAGAAGTAAATATCAATAGCAAAATACTATTCAGGTGATCTGCTTTTTCCTGCTACTTATTTCTTCTTTTCTGAATCAATTTCATAAGCTAAGGAAAAGAAGCTACATTCAAAACCAATGTAAAAGAAGGGGGGGGGGAACGAAATGTAAATAAAAGAAAATCAGTCCTATCCTCTTCAGAAGTCAAAAACAAAGGGTAACAGTACATTTTCTTACTAAAGTTAATTTCACCACAGCTTCAAAGGTTATCTGGAAATAAAAGCATCTTGTATAGGGAGAAATAAAGATAGCTATATTTTTTAAAAATAAAATTTTATAAATCAACCCCATCATGTATAACACATAATATAAGCATTCCTTTATAATCCTACCTTGAAGTACTTCTGACAAGTTATAACGGAAGTCCTTTGCCTTGGCTGCATGCAAGGCAAAAATACAGATACCATTATCAGAATCCACAAAATTGTCCACCCTTTCAATCTGCAAGTTCATCTTTTCTCTGCACCCCTTGGACTTAATATACTAAATAAAAAATATATCTAACTCTACTTTTCTAATATAATTTCTTGTATTTTAATATTTATTTTATTTTGTGCCTTCAAGTCAGTCTTGTTTCTTGGTGACTAATTAGAGAGGTTGATGCAGTTTTCTTGGTACCGTTTTTGGAAGTGTTTATTACTGCCTTATACCTAGGGTTCAGGCAGAGTGAATGGCCCAAAATTGCCCAAATAGCTTTGATGCCTAAAGCAGAACTAGAACTTTTTTTTCCCTTGCTCCTAGTTCAACACTTTAACCCCTCCTCCAGATTTTAATATTAATAGCAGGAACTGGAGAAACACCTGCAGGGCCACTGTGAATAGGCATCAACTGAATAAAGTTGCTTAGATTTGCACTGTTGGAATCCAGCTGAGCAAATCCTACAGAAATTATTGAGGTCCACCTTTGCTTAGTTAATCAAGGCAATTTCAGGCATGTGATCCTATGGAAGTGATCAGAATTTTTACTATTGTCAGCTCTGCCACCTATGTTCTAGATCAGGGGTCCTTAAACTTTTTAAGCAGGGGGCCAATTCATAGCTGGCTGGGTGTGGCTAGGTGGTCATATGAATGGGTGGGTGTGGCTACGTGGCCTCCAGAACCACTCTGCCACCCAAAACCAGGCCTGTTTTTGGCTTTCTGAGGCCTCCACGCCTCCTGTTTTTGGGCTCCTCAGCATCCAGAACGTGGGTGGGGGCTAGTGAGTAGGTGGGGTGATATGGGTGGGGTTGCCTTGTGGTCTGTCACAGGCCGGATTAATGGCTTCGGCAAGCCGTATCCAGCCGCCGGGCAGTAGTTGAGGACCCCCATTCTAGATTCTGCTTTTCTTGGCTGTCCAAGGTCTTGGGAGGAAGTGCCATGTGACTGAGTCCAAACAGTAGTTAATGCCACTTTGAGAAAGAATATAGTTCCATATGGCTTGAAGAATGCAATGATTTGTTCCTTCCTGAAGAAGCTATTATTGGACCCAATCCTGAAGAAGCTATTATTGGACCCAATAATGTTGGATAACATACATAGAGCCTCACCTTCCATTTGTAGAGAAAGTAGTTCAGAGAATGAAAAACATTTGTATTCTTCTGGACTGGTTTAGAAATGATTTTGTGATGGTTATCTTCCTTCCTCTATAACCAGTTCCAGTCAGTGTTTGGGGGGTGGGGAGGGGAGATCAAGCCATAGGTCCCTCTTACATGGGAGAGAGGACTGCTCTCTCACCCCTCCAATTTAACATTGCATGAAGCTATGGTGAGATTATTTGGCAGAATGGAATGAAGTATGATCAGCACACTGATGTTACTTAGTTGTTCATCTCTGACAGACTTAGTGCTTGGAAGCCATAAGGCTTGGATGGGAAGGAACTAGCTATAACTGAATTATAGAAATGCAAGTATCTTTGTTTTTCTGTGTCCCCTGGATCTGAATAGTTGCTATATTTAACTCTTGATGGAACAATTATTCTCTGTTTATCCACAGAGCTAGGCTGCGGATTCTGCAATAAAGGAATAATGTCTAAGAGAAATTGAATGGGTGGGGAATGTATCCATCCTGAGGGTGTTTCAACTTGAGCAAATGCAAGATTGCCCATATTTCAAGACTGTCTATTACCACATCAATTTGAGACAGATATAGAAGCAGTTGTGTGCAGATCAATTTCATTTGTCATAAAAACACAGCTCTCTTTTTTGAAGTCAACTCTGGAATATAGGTTGGGACAGAATACGAAGGTCCTCTTGTACGCAGGGCTACTGCTTGAAGAACAGCTGTCAGTCATTTATTTTGTGTGCATATTGTATTTAATGTGCATATTGAGAGCCAATTTAGTGGCTAGAAAGCTGGATGCAGTGAATTCTAGTCTTATCTAAACCATGAAAGCTGTTTGGGTGTCTTTGGACCAGTCACTCTTTCGCAGCCTGCTCATTTCACAGGGTTATTGTTGTCGAGAAAATAGAAGACAAAAGTGTGCAAGATATGTTCACCACCTTGAGCTATCTATACAAATAATAAAGCTTGAATATAAACAAACAAACTCATTCCTAGGCCAGAAGTCTCAGTTCACAGTCACTCGTGCTTTATTCATGTCCTGTGTGGACAACTGCAATGACCTCTACATGGAGCTATTCTTGAAGACCACTCAGAAACCTCAACTGGTCCAAAATACAGCAGCAGCTCTGGGCTGCTCAGAGTTTGCCAGCATTGCACCACAACTGTATAAGTTGCCTGGGTTCCTTTTTCTTTCTATATGTAATTTAAGTAGCTGCTCATTAACTTTAAAGTCTTGAATAGCATAGGGTCAGTTTATTTGAGCAAATACCTCTTCCTGAGGATCTCCTGCCAGATTGGATAAGTGGGTGTACTCCAGGTCTATTAAATCGTGCCATTTTATGGGATCCAGGAAACAAGCCTTTTTCCATAGTGGCACCTAACTATGGAAAAGATTCCAATGCTGAGATATAGAGAACCCCTAACCTCAAGCCTCCTTCAATGATAGGCCAGGTTGTGCTCTTGCGATGGAGTGTTATCACTATTGCTGGTATGTAAGAATTTTTAATTTTGTTGTATTTTTGTTATATGTATGCCTATTGGCTCCTGTGGATTATTTTATATAACATGAAAAACCATAAAAATGTTTTACATAAATGAATAAATATTCATTCATTTATCATTACTAGGCCAATTTCTTACCTAGCACTTCCTCGTAATCAACAAGTTCAAACCAAACTACTGCAACTGATGTCCATACTCCCAGGAGGGCAATTACCATGAACCACGTAAAAAAAGAGCTCCCGGAAACTCCTTCTTTCTTGGCACTCTTGTTTCCACCATGTTTTGCTTCTGTAAGATATACAAATGAAGTATTATCAAAAGTTAAAAACTTTGGAAATGAATTACTAAATAAAATTCATAACATAAAATGTAATGCTACTATTAAATACATGACACTATATCTAAAGATTAAAGAACTATAAATTAATTTGTTTCAAAGCAAATTTAATACATAGCATATATTTCCTATTTGGTAGGATTATGTTGTTGACTTGGAAAGTAGTGTCCAGCTTAGAAATCTATGCCAAACAGTGCTCATTGTGTACGACAATTTTAGGCAT